CCAACTTCAAACGACCATAACTCCTAGCTCAGGATGTGTTAGGTGTACTTCCAGATATGGTTGAAAATCTCTTGGAATAATATTTCCAACGCCGCTGAGTTTGCGCAATTTCGAGTTCGTATGAGTGAGTTATGCCCTTTGGAAGTTGGTCGGTTGGAATAAGGAAAGTCCAAATCCGGATTTTGAAAGGGTAGCTTGGTCTTTTCCTTGCCCAATTATTTTATTTCGTTTTTGGTAATTAAGTTAGGGTCTAAACATAATTAGATCAGTTTACGCTTTTACCAAAATACGCTAGGGCTTGGAGAAGAGGAGAAAAGAGGAGAAAGGAGAAGAACGTACAAGATCCGTCGATTTCGTCAAGGATAGCTTGTGGATTTCGTCGGGGTGATCCCTAAAAAGGTATGTGAGATCACACAGCGTTGGGTTAGTTCGCCCACGCGCCAATCATGATTTAATTCAGCGAATTTAAGTCTTTGAAAGTTTAGAAATTGAGTTCTTGATGGACATTGTTGAAGGTTTTCTTGAATTCTTGTGGGTTGTGTTGATTGAAGTTTCTTGCGATTTGATTCATGTTTTCGGGTGTAATTTCGGTTTGAATCTATCATATATTGAGGGTATAAATGATTCTAAGTGTTTGGGGAAGGAACCATGGAAGTTTAGAGGGTTTAGAGATGAAAAACGGAGAAGAAAAGACGTCAAACACTTGGGGATAAGGGTGGGGCGTCGCGCCAGCCAGCGCGCCCCAAAAGGGCCTCTGAATCTTCACCCTTGGGGGCCACGCCAGCCAGCGCGCCCCAGACCAGTCCCTGAATGTTGAAGGCTGGTGCCCCGCGCCTCTCAAAGCGCCAGGGAAGTCAGTTTTCCCCATTCATTCCCCACCTTTTCGTACTTGTTCCTTAGCGTACCTATGTTTTCTAGTTGATTTCAGCACTCTAAGGTACATCTAAACATCATGAAATCATCCATAAACATGAGATCATGAACCTTGAATCCATAATTCAATTCAAGGAAAGTTAGGATCAAAGTCAAGAGAAGTTAAAACTCAAGTCTAAAAGTTAAGAAGCAAGTCAAAGCAAAGTTTATAAAGTTTTCAAAAGTCTTTAACGAATGTTTTAACTTTGTTTTAAGACTTAAGTTTCAAGTTAAGCAAAGAGTAAAGAGTTGAGTTTATTTCTAAAAAAGCTATAAGGGAACTAAGTATTTCCAAACAGTTTATAAATGTTTTCACATTTGAGCAAGAAAAGGAAATATCGATTTCAAGAGAGCTTTTAAGCTAAGTTTTGAGTAATTATCTCAAACAAAAGAAAGAAGTTCTGATTTTAAATCATATGAGCTAAGTATATTTTGGGAGTAGTATTGAGCACCGATATGGGGATGCGAGTTCATATTAACTCAAGTCTCCATAAACCATGTAGCCATTATGGGTAGTAAAGGATCATACGTTTTAAATGACTCCTTAAGATGCTTTTAGCATAGACTAGTGGATCCACTTAGTGAGTTAGGTTCTATACCCATGGCAAGGTATAGGACGGTCCTTGGTAGCGTGAGGTAAAACGTTGTACCATCACTTAGGCTCATAGTGGTAGTTCTTGGTTAGAGAATGTCCCACAGAAACTATATTACTTTTTATATGAGTAAAGTTGAGTTTATTATTGCATTTTTCCCCTCGCATACTCGTACATTCAATGTACTTATGCCAGTTGGCCTGCATCTTATTATGACGCAGACGCAGGTAATCAGGATCAACATCCAGCGCCTCGTTGATCCAGTTTGAGCACTCAGAGTCAATTGGTGAGCCTCCTTGCTTTCCGGAGGACTCCTTTTACTTGCTTTCTAGGATTTCAGTTGTTAGAATGATCGGGGATCCTGTCCCGACATCCCTCTTTGTTTTAGAGGTTTCATAGACAGTTAGTACTCAGTTGTCTTTACATTACTATTTCATATGTTAAGACTTGAGTTGCCATTTGGCCAAGTTGAATGTTTGACCTTTGAACATTCTAAGTTATTTTTATCGAACAGTTTAGTAAGTGCGTTGAATCTTTGTATTTATGCTTTTAAGTCTTCCACTGAGTAAGTAAGCCAGGCCAAGGGTTCGCTTAGGACCAGCAATGGTTCTCGAGTGCCAGTCACGTTCAGGGTGTAGGCTCGGGGCGTGACAAAAGCAAATTTGTATTGATTTAGGTTTGAAATAATTGAGGTTATATATCAACAATAACATTTGTACCAAATACATTGTACACAAACAAAGTTGTAATGTATCTGGTAGAGGTGAAGTGATATATACCAGGATGTTAAGAGAGAAAGAAGGAAAAATTGAGTTTTTGTAATTAATTCATATGGTAGAATTTTTTTAAAGATCATGTTATCTTAAGTCATGTAATTACGTGCTTTTTCCTATTTATTATAATGTATATGACACTATTATATACATTCACCATATATACATCGACCAACCACCATCAGAGGTGGACCCACCTTTGAGGCAGTGGGTGCACGTGCACACGTATATTCCTAAATAAGGATCATATAATTAAATTTGCACATTAAACACATAAACTAGGTTGGTGTAGTGGTTCAACATTGTTTGTTGCGCTTGTTTGTAACTTGTATTCAAACTAGCAATATCAAAGTGTAGACTAAGGGTCAAGACCATCTAATCATAGAGTGAACTATGTTACATTTCGTTTAATTTATATTTATCTATATAATTTTATACTTATTTGACAATATTTTCCGATGAAGTATCGTACTTCGACTAACTTGTATATGCTTTTAGTAGTGCCCCATCTTCTTCAAATTCTAGATTCGTCTCTAACTTCAATACCCTAATCTCAATAATATATAAAAATGAAGAAGAAGAGGTAATTGATCCAACAGTTGGCTACTTGGAACCTTTTCATTTCGATTTGTAGATCTCAAGATCCTTCTGTCTAACGAATGAGTTTACAAACCACTGTCCAAACTACCATTACACTTAAAGTTGGATTGGACTAGCATTTTGGAGACTCTTTAAAATGATGGGTTGGGCTGGATTGAGTTATTGGATTCTTCACCTTGCTGGGATTGAACTCAAATGGATTGGACCAGTGTTTTAAAAAACTATGTTGGGACTCGCCTCGAGGCTCACTCTGGGGCGGGGCTCTAGCAAAACGCTCCGAGATTCAAGTGTGGGGCTTAGTTCCGTAAGACTTACGCTCTAAGCATCCGACTGTACACCCTAAGAACGCCCAACGCCTAACCCTTAGGCTCGTCTAATAGATCTTACACAAATAATGTGTTAAAATCTTTTTTTAACATTGTTGACCCTCATAATTCTTGAATAAGTGAATGATACTTAATAATTTTTTAATCTATAGAGATACGAAGATTGAGAGTAACTCAAATAACAACTTGTAGTATCGAATCTTTACTATTTGGTAACACTGTGAATGTGATTATATATTACGTAACATTTCTTTTAAAAATACATAGTGAAATCATACTTTTCACTAATCATTGGTCTTCATGATTTTGTCATATGTCTCAAAATTATCATATTTTATTTAGCTATTTGAAAGTAATTTTATTTTTATTCATAATGGAGTGATATTTTTATTATAATACTAGTAAGTTTTATTAATTATTCTTTTTAGGGGGTAAAGTGTATAGTATGATAAAAAAAATATTTTTAGAAATAATGATAATGATTCTTTTAATAATAGAAATTTAAGATATTAGATTATTTATATTTGTATAATCATATTAGAAGTTTTATTTTCTATGAGTTTCCTTAATCATGTTTGTAATTATTTCAAAGTATTAATATATATATTTTTTATAATTTTGTGTTATTATATTATTATACTATATTGTAAATTAAAAATTTAAAGATCCATAGGGCTTACGCCCCACGTTTCGAGGCTTACGCTTCGCCCTATACTAAGTAAAATGACCTGTCTCACGCCCCCGCCTTTTAAAACACTAAATTGGACCATATTGTTTTAGTAGCTCTACCTAATTGTTAGTCTCAAGGCATAAGCATTTTTTTAAGGAAACAACACAAATCACATCAATTTAGGTTGTAATTACATCCGGACACACTAGTTTAATAAATTATCTTCTGTACCATTTTTTGTTCGCCAGATACATATATCTAACAGATTCAGGTATATGTGTCTTGTATACATACGGGTCAAATTAGGTATAATTCATTTCCGATATATAGTATTCAAATTTGATTCGCATGTATCTGGGATACACTCGCGTCTTTCCCTAAGTATCTTTATTTCAGAATGTATCTTAGTTTCACAAATTTCGTGTATATGTGTATCCAAAATCAATAACATCTAGTGTATCCTATATCAATTTTATTAGTGTATCCGATATCAAACATTTAGTGTATTTGTGCACAAAAATATGTATCGATACCAACATACATACATGTATCTAGTATTCAAAGATGCATTTATACGTTCATCAGTGTATCCGTGTAGAAAGAAGGGGTAGTGAGTTGAAAGAGAGTGAGAGAGAGCGAGGGTTAGAGAAAAGAAAGAGGTGATTGTGTAATTAGTTTAGAGTATATGTAATTATTTAAAAGTATCAAAAGATCAAACATGTATGATAGAGATGTTTATCTAACTAGATAATTTTCTCTTCTTTTAAAGGTTATGTTATGTATTTAGTCAATCGGTTAAATTTAAGGTAATTTACATAAATCTCATAGTATTAAGATCTAATTATATTATTTCCCTACTATTTTTCAAATTACAAGAATTCCTTAAAAATTTTCCGGATACATCACTGGACTTTCGTATACAACACTGGACTTTCGAATACATCAGTAGACATCTAGATACATAAGGGAGGGATGTATCATAGAGGGGATAGGACATCCGGATACATATGGGTAAGATGTATCATAGAGGGGAGGATTGTATCTGAGAGGGACGGGATGTATCAGAGAGGAGATGGATGTATTCGAGAGGGAGATAGAGATGTATCCGAATAAAAACAAAAAAACATAATCCGAGCCCAACACCATTCAATTTTGAAGCACAATTTATTTAGAGTTACATATACATCAAACATATGATGTTAAACACACCAAGAATAGAGATTTGAAATAGTACATATATTTTTTTTAATACTCAAGATACAAGGAATAAATCCAAGCATCTATATTTATTTAGGTATAGGGTGTATCAAACACAAATTCCCACCCATAAAGTTACGGGAATACATTGATCACCACAGCCATCGCCACATTTCCCAGCAAACGGCCCACAAGCACATACTCCATTCACCTTCCTTCCTAATATTGCCATTTCTTTCAAATCCTGCTTTTCCCCACTTGAACATGCAATCACTATAACAATAAAAATTCACATTTTTTTCGTTATCATGTTTAAATATAATTGTCTTTCTTAAGACAAGTGTTAAATTTGTATACTTATATTTTGTAATTGATAGCTAAAGGAGCACTCACAATCTTAAAATCCTGGATCCACCATTGGTTTAATACAAGATTACTGCATTTATAATTAGTCCATGAAAACATGACTCATCCAATCCACTTAAACTTGGGTGGGCCATGACCGTTCCATTATTAATTAATCGCCTTCATTTATTAACTTAGTCCATTTCAATCGATACAATTTAGATCATCTAAAAATTGGATTGATTTAGGTTCAGTAATATATTGAACCATGAGAAAATCTTGTCAAAATATTTTTAAAATTACTGTTAAATATAACCATAATAAAATAAAATAAAGTTTATTTGGTAATTAAATAAATTATAGGGAAAAAAATAGTGAAATTTAAACTTGGTAAGAGTCCAACTTAGCTCAAAAACCTTTTAACCTGACCATTTAACACCCTTACACCCAAATACAACTACATGGGTAATATGCCTCCACAAATTAACTAGACCATACTTGCAAATCTCGTAAAGTTTGTTTGTTTAGCCTATCCTGACTCAAATCATTTCAAATCAAGTAATTTTTTAACAGATTAATAATTTATCAATTTATAAACTCGGTCATTTTAGCTCGCTCAAATTTAGTCCAAACTCACTCATTTGACACACCTATATGGTAAATTTATTTGCTTTATATGTTATTTATGCATATATAATATAATAAAGAAAGAAGGTTAAGCACTTACAAGATGCAGCAAGAAAAAGAAAAAGCAAGAAAGCCAACTTAGCACTTGAACCTCTCTCCATTATTTATTTATTTTTACTTTTCTTACCTTCAGCTTGCTTGGTGATATCTAACTAGAAATATATTCCTATGAATTTATAGAGGTGAGTTATGCTTTTCTTTTCTTTTTTTCCGATTAGTTAATTCTTTTTTGTTTTATTGTAATTGAAAATAGGCCTTGAGCTTTCAAAAAAAGTCATCTCCAATAATGCACATAGTTTTTCCTTCCAAATATTAAAATCAATTAAGAGTGATCCTATTTTTGGATGTTATGATGAATATTAGAATCTATGCATACATATGTTTAAAACGTTGGACAAATTTAAAATACGCAGGGGCTTAATAAACAAATAGATTGACAGTACCTGCATTTATTCTTGCTTAAAACATGGGCTAAGACTTTGTGTAGAGACAAGGCAAATTAAGCCTTTATCTTATCGATAATCACTTAAATTTGTCTACAAATTTTTACTTAGATATCAAAAGTGTGTCTAATTAACACCTCAATGCACATGTGGTAATAAAATTACTACTATTACCATTTGAAATAATATATATAATTTAATTTTACAAACTGATGCTTCAGATTATCATTGGGGAGCATATATATATAATTAAATAGCATATTTCAACTTAAATATATAAGTATAAATTCAAATATTGTTAAAAGTTTGTATTATCCTTGTATATGAATAACACTTTGTTAAACCTATTTATTTTTTTTTGGAATCCTCATAGCAATCCACAATCTCTGTCACAATGTCTCTGAACACTTTGTATTAACCTGCTAAGTGCTCACTATGTGATAGCTTGCAAGTCATACAGAAAATATAAACCTCAATAGGCAAGCCCCATGTAATGAGTTCATAGCTAAATAGTAGATGGAGGCTGAATTCTATAAACCATTGTTTGAAATATGAGATCCTCATGATGTGGTTAAGGAAAATTGATAGAATACTCCTATTAATTGAATGCTACACGAAAACTTGTATGTGAACCAAATTGGATATAATTTATTCAAATTTCAGAAGCGGTAAAATTAAAGGAGATTCAATTTCGATATAATTTTTGTTTGTAAATTTTTTATTTTAAAATAATTCTCAGACTTGATATTCTACGATGATTATACTTATTACATATCAAAAGTGTGTCTAATATAATGCACATGTGGTAAGAAAAAAATCCTAGGCGTATATTTTATTTTATTTTAATTTTCCTATTAGAGATTCTAGTTTTCCAATTAGTACCCAAAATTATAGGAAAGTTCCCCCAATAACTCTTTTTCTTTCCTATTTAGGAAAAACAATTCCTTATTATTACTCCTATAATAATAGTTTCCAAATTTGTAACCCAATTCCTTCCTAAAACTACAATTTAAAACGAGTAAATAAAATATTCTCCGATTCTTTGTAAAATAAAATCTTCAATTTACACGTTATTGTTATTATTATTTTTTACCCGTTATATACTCTCTATAAATTATAAAATATAAAATCCCCAATTTTGCCAAGCCATAATAATTAACCTTTTTCTCCCACCATGAATATTAATAATAATACCAACGCCGTCAACTCCGCCGCCGTCGCCGTTAAGAAAACTCAGGGGCGGAGGAAAATTGCAATTAAACCAATAACAAATCAAAACAGTAGGCACGTTACCTTTAGCAAACGCCGTTTAGGTCTCTTCAAAAAAGCTAGTGAACTTTGCATCTTAACCGGTGCTGAAATCGCTATTATGGTTCAGTCGCTAAAACGACAGCGTTTATTCACTTTTGGTCATCCCAGCGCCGACGCCGTCATTGACCGGTACCTCACCGGAAAATCAGAAGAAGAAGGAGTGAAATCCGCCGGCAATGATCAGTTCAACTATGTGCAACAGAGCAATGAATACTATTCTCAGATCTGTAGAGAATTGGAGGCGGAGAAGAAGGTAAAGGAGGAGATTGTTATTGATGAATCGAAGATGGTGAATGGTGGTAGTAATAATGGAGGAGGAGGATTTTGGTGGAATGAATCGACTGATGATATGGGAATTGAAGAACTTGAGAAATTTATGTGTGCATTGGAAGAATTGAAGAAGAAAGTAAATATGAGATGTGATGAATTGAGTATGATAAATGGTTCTTCTTCAATGGCGGCGGCGGCGTCTACTTCAAGTATGAATCAAGCTATTGATTATTGTGCTTCTATTGTTCCTTTTGATTTCAACTACCCAGCAGGAAATGCCCAATTCTGAAGCATTTATTGGACTACTTAGGTTTAAACTACTGATTAGTTATTAATTAATCAAACAATTAACATGTCGTCTTCTTTCTTTATTATTGCAAATTGTAATAAAATTGAGTAGTATTGATTTTTGCATTAACATCTCTATATTTGAGGAACAAGTAATTTCTTTCAGTTGTATCAACAAAAAAAAAGAATCATTTTTTTTGTTAAAAGTATGCAAAATTAAATACTCCCTCCGTCCCATTTTATGTGATGTACTTTGATTTGGCACAAACTTTAAGAAAAATGGAAAGACTTTTAAAACTTGTGGTCCAAAATGAATGATAGAAATTTGTGTGGTTGTAAATCATTTCATTAAGGGTAAAAAAGACATTTTATAGGCAAATTGTTACTTAAAATAGAAATGTGTCATTCTTTTTGGGACTGACTAAAAAGGAAAGTGAGTCATATAAATTGGGACAGAGGGAGTAACATTTTTCAACGAGTGCCTCACATTTTGTCTAACGTGGTTCCGCTCAGGAGAGGGTGAAGGTGATAGAAATCTCTCCCCTTTAACCAAGTTTGCATGGAATTAATGTGCATTATTCGAAATTGAACATGATTGCGGTAAATGTTCATTTATAAATTTCATAAATCATAAATGTGGTAATATGAAAATATGTGGAAAACTTATTAAAGATACTTTTTTTTTTGTATCATGTTGAATAAGAATTTGAATAAAAATTTTATTTTGGTTGTTGGATTTATCCAAACCGAACCATAGTGGCTTAAAGCGTCAAATTGAATGGAACTTAATAATTTTGTGATTAAATCAATACATATTTTTAAGTATTGTGTTTAAGATCTATGTATATATATATTACATGCACGTGACTTTAGTCAATATAATTGAATTGCATGGGACTATAGAGTGTTTGTCACAGTGGCGTGGTACATAAGTTTGAATTTTTAATATTCACAAGATTGCCAGATGAAATTTTTATCATTAAATATTGGTGAAAGTGGAGAAATAATGGTGTCTCACCTGATTTTTCGTATATGATCGATAAATGAATAAAAAACATTAAATGTTTTCAAAAGTCATGTAAGCTTATTTTGTACTATGCAAAGGTGGTCTAATTCGAGAACTCCAACTTTAACTAGTGATGATATCCAAATTGGATTTAGTGCACAGAATAACCGACCATTTTTTAAAGTGAATTGGAAATATGGAGCAAGAACGCCTTGACAAAGATTCTGATTAAGTTGTCGACTACGAAATGCAAAGGGTCAGATTCAGTTGCTGCTGAGTTCTGTAAATTCTCGTAACGTTTGGGCTTCGGCATATCTACAAGCAATAAAAGTAGATGAAACAGGATTAGGACACGAGTTCGAGAGTGTTTCCATATTAAGTATTTCTCTCATTTCAAACAAGAAAAAATAGAACTAATTGTTTTCCATAAATCGAACAATTAAACAGTAGTAGATATCATAGAAAAATTATACTAATTCAAATTCAAATAGGGTAAAGCTGAAAAAAGTAAAAAGAAAATCTTCTACTCCCTCTGTCCAAATTTATACTATTTAATTCGCGTGAGATACACTCGTCCTAAATTATAGATAAACTGATGCTCCTACATGAGAAACACATTTCACCATAAAATTCTGGAATTCAACTTCATTTGGAAAACACAAAAAATTTATGATCTATTTTTCTAGGAATCACATTACTATATTTTATCCACTGTAACTAATAACCATCCGTGGAGAATTTATAAGTTGATATTCATTTTGATGTATATGTTATCTATTCAAGCTATTGTGATTAGTATCATTCCATCAAAGCGTGCTTGTGGAATAAGTATATACATTGTATGATAATGTGGCAGAATATATGCTTTCTTTTTTAGTAAAACGAGCAACCAAGAATCCAATTTAACGCAATCCCTAATCATACTTGGATAAAGCCAAATGGCGCTTATGTGGTTCAAATGCGGTGGATTTAATGATGGTTTGTTTGCTTTTTCTTTTTTTATTCTATAGTTTTTTCCATTAATATAATAATTTGTTTCTCTTTTTTCTTTTTACTTCCCGTTTTAATCAATTAGGACATTTCTCTTTTTCCCTTTGACCAGGTGTAAATCAGAAATTGATTTGTTGTAAAAAACAAGTGTTAATTTTTATTTTGAAAATTTTTTGTTTTGATTTTAAGTAAACAAATAAAAAATTATGTCACGTAAAAGGTTATTGTCTCGCGTAATACTTCCTCGAATATAATGTTATTAATATGATATATTGAGTTACATGACATAATATTTTTTATTGAATCATATATATTTGAAAAGCGGCCTTTAATTACCCATTATTATTTAATTCCATTATCAATAAGATATCTGGTATATAACAATTCTTTAATTATTTACACCAAAAAAATCACAGTAAATAAATTTTATTAAGTTTCTTTAAATGGCTAAATTCTTGGACAATGAATAAGATTTTTAAACAATGAATAAGATTTTCCTTTAAAATATTGCATATATAGTTCATTTTTTTGAAGAGTATCCCTCATCTGATTTTTATTTGTTCACTTCAAATTTTATTTGTTTCATAAAAAGCAATAATTGATAAAAGTATTTTACTATAATACCCAAATTAAATTAGTACTTAAATGGAACCTACAATATGAATTCATAATTTTAAATAACCTTTTGAACATGCAATTTGAGATCATAATTTAAAATTTCAAATAATAAAAAAAATAAAATTAAAGCATCAGAACTAATTTATATTTGGTAAAATAAAAGTATTTATCCTTTTGAATCATGCATCTAAAAAAAAGTACGCATACTCATCTTACAAAGATGTTGACAAATGGCTTTTTATAAACTTATATGTATTTAAAATTTATAATCACAAATATTCATTTTTGTAAAAATACACAGAGATATAAAATTATTAATATGGTTCATTAAAATATCTCTCCATATCTGTCTATGAACTGTGGTTTTCCCATTATTATTATTTTCATGTTAAATGAGTAATGCTTGTAAATAAAAGGTTTTCTAAATTATAATTTAAATTTTATTTACCATATAAATAGACATTTTGTAAAGCATTTGTTATAAACTATAGCACTATTTATTACTTATTTTGCACAAGTGGCATTGAAACTTGTTTATAAAGTATCTGTCATTCTTGTTTGTGCAACTAAAAACTAGAATTTTAATAATTATAAATTTAAATTTACTTATTTTACTCAATTATTTCAATAAAGAATATCATTACCTCAAATGTTCTACATGTAATTCCCTTACTTTGCAAGTCTCAAAAACTTATTTATTTTTTATATACATATTATATAGCATGAATATATAAAAATATATATATATATACATATACAAATTTCTATTGATATATGAGAACACCTATTAATTAAGTACAAACACAAATTTTAAATTCAAAAAAAAAAAGTACTATAGGCTATAATAGTCATAGATACACAGCAAAATAATTGACTAATAAAATATAAATTTGAATTGATATATGAAAAGGAGTACCTATTATCAGAATACAAACACAAATTCTGAAGTCATAAATATTGTCCTATGTTAGATTAAGGTTATTATAATATGTAAACAACAAAATAAATTTACTTGATTTTTTTGGTCTGAAAATACTATCAAATACAGTTTGGTTTTATTGAAGTGTAAAGGGCTCATATCAAGTGTATTTTATAGAAGGTTCATTGTGAAGAAAACTCATGTTCAAAAGAAAAGAACAAAGATGCACAATAGAGTTAATAATAAAGCCATCAACATATAGGGCAACTATATCAGAAACCCTGTGTTATGCAAATTTATCTACCAAATCTCATTCAAAAATGAGATATTCATCACTCTATCCTCTCTCTTTATAATCATAGCCCAAAAAACAGTAACATTTTAGCTCAATGTAATACGAGTATGCACTTGAGCCGACGGAACAACTTCACTAAGGTCTGCATACAATCTACCATCATCATCAAACCCTACTTGTGGATTTCACTGGATATGTAGTTGTAATTTTAGAGTACGAAATGTTGTGAAGACTGAAAAAGGCAATAGCTGCAATATAACATACAGGGTGGGGGGTGAAAGCAACATACTGAAAGGCAAACCTCAGACATCCAAGGAAGGATAAAAGCAGCATAAACTCTCGAGGCAAAGGCGAAAGCTCTTAAAGCGAATGTTTTGAGAAACAACCTTGCGATCTATCCTCATAGGACAATGCAAAAGCTTCTATAAACACTAGTATTAGAAGTTGCACATATATGTGTGCAATACTATTGGTCTCTATATCTTTGTGAAACAATTAGTCATAGATGTGCTAATACCATATACAAAACAATAAAATGCACTAAAAGGACAATAAATTGATCAGGACAGCTCAAACTTGATAGAGAAACACCATTGCTAAAACCATGTGAGGAACCTGAGTAGCGAAGAGTAGATGATGTATAGGAAGCTCAAACTAGACTAGGAACACGAATCAAATATTTATAAAAGCTTAAATCCAACCATCTATGACAATGATATAGTATCAGGTTAACATCAAAGCCAAACTCAAAGAAAAAAAAATTGAGTGGAACTAATTAAAAGGTAACACCAAGTGACAAGTACAATTACTAGTGTGGTAACATAAAAGACAGTATCTAACACCTACTTTAAATAGGATACAATTTGAATTCAAAGATATATGAACAATCAAAAAAAGAAGCAAAAGGGGAAATACTAAAATATACTAGCAAAAAAGGACTCAGACATCCAAGGAAGGATAAAAGCAGCATATACTCTCAAGCATGGCGAAGGCGAAAGCACTTAGTCGGCCACTGCGAATGCTTTGAGAAACAAGCCTTAGGATCTATCATCATAGGCAAAAGACAAGAAGTTCATGAAGGATAGAAAAGCAATTGAACACTAGTTCTAAGACGATTACACAGATATTCATCATCAAACAAGAACCAAATCTAACATAGCTAAAACTTAAACTTAGTTAAAAAGACTCAGACATCCAAGGAAGGATAGAAGCAGCATACTCTCAAGCCTGGCGAAGGCGAAAGCACTTAGGCGGCCACTGCGTAACGTTTTTAGAGAAACAAGCCTTAGGATCTATCATCATTGACATAACAAAACAGTTGAGCAAAACACAGCAACTTCTTAAAACAATTCAAAATTGTACCATCCGATAATGATCAGCAAAACATAAACATTGTGATGCTGACAAAGTGATGAATGGATTCAATTATCAGGGACTTGTTCATCCCTAAAACAACTCTTTCATTGCTAGAGAGGCAGACTTAACAGTCCAAGATCCACTAATTTCATAAGCTAATGGATTATTTTCATAAAAGCTATGATCTTTAGCAATAAAAATCTGAATTTGCTAACATAAATGATAGCTCAAAAGCAAAAAAAAAAAAAAAACCACAACATAGCAAAATTACATGCTAAACCCAAAATGGAGAAAACCCCCAGATAGATTCATCAGCAAAATAGCAAATCATGATAATGGTGTCTCAGACATCCAAGGAAGGATAAAAGCAGCATTAACTCTCAAGCCTGGCGAAGGCGAAAGCTCTTAGTCGGCCACTGCGAATGTTTGAGAAACAAGCCTTAACAATTATCATCATAGACACCATGTAATTTAAGATTCAAATCAATCAATTAACCAAAAATTATCACAATTCCAAACTGATACAAACATAAAACACCAATTAAAGAACAAAAAATCCAAGGAAGGATAAAAGCAGCATTATCTCTCAAGCCCTTAGACGGCCACTAAGAATGTTTTGAGAAACAAGCCTTAAAATTCATCATCACAGATCAACCCCAAAATACAACAACGAAATACGGCAATGAAAACTAGTAAATTAGCAATTATAACAAATATAATCTTCAGAACAGAGAGGATATGATGAATTTCACCAAACAGAATGAAAGATGAGGAATGGGAGAAGTGAACGGAAGCCATGGGAATGGGAGGCATCGGAAAGACATAATTCTTTTTTTTTCTATTTTTCCAATCAAATTGAAAAAATAAATAAATCCTTATATCTTTCGATTCCTCCCACTCCAATAACCTCTCCTTCACCCATATTCACATACATCTTTCACTGACAACTACCAATTCCCTCTCCCTCAATTTCAGAAATATTCAAAACTAAATCATAAAATAGCAAAGATAAAAAACGAATTTAATTTCTAATAAACGAAAAGCCAAAAAAAAAGGTTTAACAATATGTAGAAAGAAGCCATCAGTAACCAAAATTCATCCCCAGAAGCTTATGGCTATGTACGGTCCGCATCATGGTTTGATCTTTAAAAAGATCGCATCACATGGCTCATATATATAAAAGAAGAATTAACACAAAACGAAAATAATCAAGGGAAAGAGCTCAGAAATAATTATGGGTATGAGAAATTTCACATCACTAATATCAGAGTGGTGCATGACTTTCTCTAGATATCATCACAGCTCAAATTAAAGATGAATAGATATGTGTTGTGTGTGAAAAAAGTGAGAAAGAAATAGTTGTTGAGAAGCTGAGATGTGTTTGTTAATGGTGGATATGGGGAATATATAAAGTTAATAGACAGCGAAACCCTAATTAGATGAATATGGGCTTTTTACTCATGGGCCTAACAAATTGAGAGAACAATTGGGATAGGATTCTACTTCTATTTATTCTTTATTCTCAATTTAATATTAATCATATTTTTCACCACATTAATTTCTCTTTATATTTTTTGAGCAAGGACAAAATGGAAACTAATAGTTAATTATATCTTATTTTTTCTAATAAGACAATTATTTTTAATAAGAACGACAAATGAAGTGGACCGGATGGAGTATATGAATAATATTAGGGTTGTTCATGGTTATGGTTAAAAAATTAAATCAAACCGCAATTCTAATCAAATCGGTATTTGATTTGGTTTGGTTTATAATTTTGAAAACCGATACTATTTGGTTTAATTTTGGTTTTACTAAAATAACAACCACAAAAATAACCGAACCGATAAATTAGATATATAAATTTTATAATTAATAATTATATTACTCATAAATAAAATATAGATATTTTGTTAAATTTTTAGTAACTTAAATCTTTAACTTTACCTTTTCTCAAGCCCAACACTTAAATTTTAGCCCAGCTATTACTATCCTAAGACCAAGTCCATCAAAATTCATTACTTTAGTCTTTACTTAACTTAAGTCTTTAACTTTACCATTTTCTCAAACCCAACTATTACAATCATGATTCAAGCCCATCAAAATTCATTACTTTAGTCTTTACGTACCCTATCTCACATAAGATAATCACACATTCTCTTAATTGCATCACTTTGTTCGTGTAATAATAATTATAGTATTGCTTAATTGAACTAGCAGTAGCTTTCACGTGGATTATTAATGTACTAGGTATTTGTGTCTATCGAGATACATATGTCCTCTAATAATTTATTACTTTTCAAATCGAAAAAGCTAGAAAAACTGAACCAAACTGATAGTTATTTTTTTCGTTTCGTTTGGTTTGATTTTAGAAACTAAAAAAACAGACTAGATTGGTTTTATTTTTATTTTAACCAATAACCGATTCAAACCAAACCACGAACATCCCTAAATAATATGTATGAACTTAATTTAAAAGTTTATATATATAGTCAATTCTTCAACCTGTTAGGATAGAAAACATTTGATTTAGACACTCAAATTCGTTATATTTCAATTGAACTTCTAACTTTCTAATAATATATTTTAATTAAACACTTTAAATTTTGAAAAAGCTATACATATTCTCATTTATCTATTAGATAGTTAAGTTAACACATAAAATATGTCTATTTCCTTAAATTATACACATCAACCTTATAAATTATAAGCATCAACCTTAACTATGAATATAGTTTTAAGACTTAATGATGTGAATGCCTCGTAAGACATAAGTTTAGATTTTAGAATATTTGATACACTGAACTTATGCCTAGTTACGTATCTAGCAAATTTTTTCGTCGTAAAATTCATACCACTAAACTTATGTCACAAGTAGTTTTAACATGTGTCATCTTAAAAAGTTCCACATTATTCGAATTATGTTCCAAAACACAAATTATGCCTTTCAACCAATAGTTCAGTTTTAAAATTTTATGCCTTTGAAAAAAATTTACTACTAAATTTGTGTCTCAAGGCACAAGTTATGCCCATTGTCTCAAGGCACATGTTTTTAATAGATTTGTCTGGTGAATTATCCTATGTCCACTAATAGTTATCCACTATTGAGTTAACACACCACTTAAAAATTAGAAACAGAAAGATAATTTTATTATATCACCATGTAAGTTGAGCTGAGATTCAACATCCACTCATGGAGTTTTCAAAAATTAAGTAATATTGCTGATTTAAGCATTTTCAATTAGATAACACAATTTTAAATATAAAAAAGTTATATAACAATAATAAGGATAAACGTGCAACACATTTTCCCATAAATAAGTTACTTGTGTGTTTGGTGAACCATGAACATTTACATTTGCTTACATACAGAGAGTTGGTTTAGTCGGAGAAAATGGCCGTGGGAAGTTTACAGTGATCTCACTCTTACAACGATATTATAATTTTGCTTCGGGTCAAATTATCCATTCAAAATGGCTAAGGCATCAAATGAGCCAAGAACCAATTCTGTTCAACGAGCCAATATAATGCATGGGAAGGAAGCCGGAGATGCAAGTCTCTGGTTACATTTTTCTAATTTGTACAACTTTTCAAGTTATCTTTCAAATTTAGTTGTCTATTTCAACTTACTGTTGCATTCTGTCACATTTTTCTGAGTTGATTAATTGAATTTCGAACAAAAACACAACACTATGGGGGCTTGAGATACCATCCTAAAACCATGTTTGTTGAGGGAATTTTCTGCTTTATATTGAAAGGAAATGAATAACAACTGATTTATAGTAGAGAGATTTAATCAAGAAGCAACTTAAAGGAAGGGAAAAGATTTATACAATTACTTGTTCAAGAATTCTAATAACACTACATAATGTTTCCTAGACAATCAAAGTCAGGTAAGAAATCAAAATCAATATCTGGCATGGGAATGGCTTCAAAAGTATCAGGGGCATCCTGCATATTGTTCAGCAACTCTAATTGGGCTTGTAATAGCACAGAGAACATAATCTCTGCAATCCTTGTCAAATTTGTCAAGAATATACCTAGAGAGGTCTTATTCCTTCATCAACCAATGACCATTTTCCTGTTTATAGCCTTTATTCATGTAACACATGCTCTTCTTGTATCCAATCACTGGTCCTCCATTCTTTCAAACAGGTTTGCTCTTTCCCACATCGCGACTTGCTTTTCTTCTTGAGCTTTGTGATGAAGAAGCGATACTGACTACAGTCGTCGTCAGTACAGCAGGGTACTCCATGAGTGTAAATGTCCCATGGTTCTTGTTTACTACTGTAAGTATCAACATGAGTAGTGATGAATCATTCATGAATTTTCCAGCAATGAATCTCAACAAGAAAGTAACAGCTTCTGCATCACTCGGACTGAATCGGAAACCCTCTTTCAAATTCTCCATTATACACTCAATTTCTCTTCTTCTTTTTTTCTTCTCAAAACGTACAAAAGAAGAAAACAGAGTTCCCCATTTATACAGAGAGACACAGTTGTATGTCAACTTTTTATGGAAACTTTTTAATACTTCTACACGTTTTCTGTAACAGAAAAAAAAACATACGTATTTGGAAATTTTTGTAGTAGCATATTTTATGGAAATTTTTATACCAAAAAAAAAAAAGAGAAGAATTTACACCTTCTCTATAACCAAGCATATAGAAACTTAGGATTTGGAAAGTTTCTTTTTGGAAGGTTGAGAACTTCAGTTTTAACTTTATTTTTCTTTATAATATAGAAATACTAATGTTTAAGTATATGGTGTTCCGTGTTTGTGACAAAAAAAATGAAATATCATTTAGAAAATAAAACATAGTTATCATAGTTTTCTTCAATGTGATTCTTTCAAAATTCAAACTCTCACTTTTCAAATTTAAAATTGTACAATTTTCATATATTTATTGTGTACTTTTTTTTCCAATTATTGATACTACTATCTAAGTTATCCGTCATGTTTTTTTATTTCAAATTTTGAGTAAGAAAATTGTGGTTCAATAACGTATCAAATGTAATTCACACCTTGCGACGGTGATGTATACATAGTCTGACCTTAACCTTGTGAAGGTCAATACTCGATATGTTGTTTCTGATAGATGCTCGATTCAAGTAAAGCATGTCAAAATTAGTGAGTAAAAGGAATTATCATAGTGACAAAACCCTTTAGGATAATGGAGAAAAGAACAATAGCAATTACAAATAACACAATAGCTGAAGTAATGAAAACAACATGTAATAATAGAATCGAAGAATAACAGAGTGGGTGAGTACTAATGATAATACTGATATCGAAAACTAGTCCCACGATCAACTATTTACTAACCTTCTATCCTAATCCGCAACTTCTATATTCTCCTATCTATGGTCATGTCATCGGTAAGTTGCATGTCATGTCATATCTAATCACCTTTCATCAGTACTTTTTTAATCTACCTCTACCTCTCCTAAGACCCATTAACCAACTTTTATCACCTCATAAACCTTCTCATTGGGTAAGAGTCATCTGTGCATGTGCATTTCCTCTTCACATATCCAAACCATCTCAGTCTCATCTTGGCCCCCACAAAGGTTACTCCCACTTTGTCTCCAATATCTATGTTCCTAATTTTCTCTCTTAATATGCCCACACATTTATCTCAACATCCTCATCTATGTTACCTGCATCTTTTGGATGTGCGAGTTCTTGACCCATACAACACATCTAGCCTAAAAAATGTAATTGAAAAATGCCTGTAATTAATGATAAGAATAAATTAGGAATTAAGTATAAAACTATCCATGAATTTCATAAAATGGACAACTATTACTCCATATGTTCCTAATTACTTGTTTACTTTTGAATTGGCACACCTATTAAAAAAACAATTATTGATATAATAAGTTTATCATTTT